GCTCCTCCTCCGGACGCTCTTCCTCGAGACGCTCTCCCTCCAGACGCTCTGCCTCCAGACGCTCACCCTCCAGACGCTCGCTCGCCGGACCCGACTGAGCCATGGCGAACGCTAGCCCCCGGACGCCAACCGACCCGATCTAAGCAGTAAAACAACTTTTAAAAAATGCATTATCTGCTTTCTGTAATTTTAGATTCACAAAACTAGTTCGTAAATCGAAACGGCTGCCTCATTTTCCCACCACGCTCTTTTGTGTACTGGTTTTGTGGAAAATGTGTTGCGAGTAAACCACTGGGGCGGTGGCGGTGAGGCTGCGAGCTGCTAATGCGTTTTTAACCACATTGGGGCGCACCCGCACGCACACGCGCACACACATGTGGGAAGGGACTCGCCAAAATTTGTTCGACGGGTCAACTATCGTGTTCGGATTTGGAGGTCGATGTCACGTATTGAGGAGCATTTAGCGTCCGAACCTCGAACACTTTTTTGGTCGACCATCCTAGTGACCAGGGGACACCCTGGGATAGGAACTTTCTGTAACTCTACATGACATAAATTATTTTGTCGTGCACCATAGTGTTGCGTATTACGGATTACGGCCTCGCTGCCGACCTTGGCGTTGACGAGCAGGAGCGTGTGGAGGCTGTGCAGGTGCGGGAGCGCGGCCGCCACGGCCAGGGCGCCCTGGTCGCCGAGCGGGCAGTGCGACAGGTCCAGCAGGCCGAGGCGGCCCCCGCCGAGGCTCCCGGCCTGCGCCAGCGGCCTGAGCAGGGCTGCTGCGCGCAGGGGGTCCACGAGGGAGCGGCGGACGCGGAGGGCCTGCGTGGGAGGCCAGGGGGCTCGCACTGTGAGAAATGTCCTCATAAATTTTACATACACATACAAATTTATATACAATTTCAACATTTGTTCTTTTTATTCACCAATTTTTTATTTACAAAATACGTTGTAAATTTTGCGACCACCCATTCTTTGATTGTCGATCAATTCTATATTGATTAGAAGTTAGAAGTGCTTGTAAACTTTCTATTTGAAATTGTAATTTAACAACAAACACATGATGGAAAATTTTTCCTTGAACCCTCGATTGTATTTTACAGTGAGAGAGACGGTGTCCTTCAGATCCTCTTGCCCAATCTGGGAAAGATTTCGCGGTTGTTTGAATGGCTCCGGTTTCGGGAGGGGGTCCTCGACAGCTCACCGTCAGCTCGGGATGGTTGGCCACGGCGCGTCCCAGCCTCTCGCAGTCGCCCACGGAGACCCTCTGCTCCGCGGGGTCGAAGTCCACGCCCATGCCGAGCTTCGTGAACACGACCTCCAGCTCCTGCAAGACGAAGCGGCGACACTGGAAATCCAAGTGTGTGAATGTCGCACACTTGTAGGCGTGTGAATTTCCATTCATACATACTTGAGGACGCTAGTGTACGAATTTTGCTGGAAAATCCGCACATTTTAACGTGGTCTAAGTGGGCGAGCGGATATTCACTCAGCTACAAGTGTGTGACATGCATAACGTTAAACGGGGCAGGGGCCCTTGAGCCCCTTGAATGGTCTGCAGACAGGTCTGCGATTGCGGCCCGGAAACAAAGACAGATGGCAGGCGTCTGATACCGTTGCAGGGGCTCCTCACTGACACGTCAGGCGGACTGTAGCGTCAGAGGAGACATGCATCAAAGTTCTAGACGGTATGGAGCTCGGCGCCTGCGAGACTCGGGGTAGGCCAGCCCGCAGTACGCGCATGCACCGCAGTCGACATATTGCCTACCCACCAGGCGCCATGAGAGGTTGCATTCGGCTGGGACTCAGCTCAGCAGTTTCGTAGCAGCAATTTTAAATTATGACGGACATACTCTCTGGAGGATCCTACCGCTATGAGGGTGATAATTTAAGTAAAAGGGCGAGCTTATTTCTCCAGCACAAGATTAATATTTTTTGTGGTCGATGTTTCCCCTTGTTTTTTTTTCGGGGGGCGTCGTGGGGGATCTAGAATATGCTGGTTTAAGACTATTCGAAGGAAACTGTTCACAGTGTATTAAATCTCGCTGGCGTCGGCGTGCGGTTTTGTACTACTAGAGGGCTGTGACGCTATGTGAGGCACGTCCCAGCCACCCCCTCTCTCCTCTCGACCGCGGTGGAGGCAGCGCTGACCCCCCCCCCC